CAAACAAAAGTTTACGCCGGACGGATGACGCCATACCATAATATACTCCTGTCAAATTTGACGAGCGTATAAAAAGTATATCTATCATTAAACCATTCCTCAATTTACACCAACCACGATTGTTATCATACATCAGTTAAAATCATCCAGATTTTTATCTTTGGCACATGTTCACATCCCCTGTGCACATCTTGCGCACACCACACATCGTGTAACTTTGTGCGATCCTACAACTATAGATTGATTCTTTGATATACATCCGTTGTGCGATCCTACAACTATATATAGCTAAAGATTGATTCTTTGATATACATCCGTTGTGCGATCCTACAACTATATATAGCTATAGATTGATTCTTTGATATACATCAGTTGTGTGATCCTACAACTAAAGATTGATTCTTTGATATACATCAGTTGTACGATCCTACAACTATAGATTGATTCTTTGATATACATCCGTTGTGCGATCCTACAACTATATATAGCTATAGATTGATTCTTTGATATACATCAGTTGTGCAATCCTACAACTATAGATTGATTCTTTGATATACATCCGTTGTACGATCCTACAACTATACATATATATATAGCTATAGATTGATTCTTTGATATACATCAGTTGTGCAATCCTACAACTATAGATTGATTCTTTGATATACATAAGTTGTGTGATACTACAACTAAAGATTGATTCTTTGATATACATCAGTTGTACGATCCTACAACTATAGATTGATTCTTTGATATACATAAGTTGTGTGATACTACAACTAAAGATTGATTCTTTGATATACATCAGTTGTACGATCCTACAACTATAGATTGATTCTTTGATATACATCCGTTGTACGATCCTACAACTATACATATATATATAGCTATAGATTGATTCTTTGATATACATCAGTTGTGTGATCTTACAACTAAAGATTGATTCTTTGATATACATCAGTTGTGTGATCTTACAACTAAAGATTGATTCTTTGATATACATCAGTTGTACGATCCTACAACTATAGATTGATTCTTTGATATACATAAGTTGTGTGATACTACAACTAAAGATTGATTCTTTGATATACATCAGTTGTGTGATCCTACAACTAAAGATTGATTCTTTGATATACATCAGTTGTGCTTTGATAAACATGTGCGGCATGCATATTGGTATTGGGTGTCTCTCCTCTGCAATCTTCAAATGAAAGGCATCAGCTAAGCAATCAGTCAGGTTTTACACCTGAAACCAATCCTATAACTTTGTCTTTGATCATGATCATGACATATTCCAAAGGTGCATAAAATTAACATAAGAGATCATTATCCCTGAAATTTCAAGGATGTACAGAATTTAAGTAGACAAAATTATAAATAATTGTTACATGAGTCAGTCATCAAAGTTTAAATTTGTACAGCTATAATTTACAGCACACAATTGATAAGTAATTTGTAATCTTGGAAATTGAGGATAGGAATTATGATAAGCTCTTAGATTGTTTTCCAATCCTCTTTATTCCATGTTTTAAAGTTTGTTTAATGTGCTAAAATTGGAAAAATATAACGTTTAAACTAATCTTGGAAATATTTACAATCAGCTCATCATCTACATTTACTTTGCTAATCATAACACATTGTTTGATCCATATTTAAAATATGTATCAGTTAAATTATTAGGTGCATCCATCCTCCTGTATGTATGTTTGCCTTGTAACTTTTGCATATATGTTTATTCCTGAGCCTGGCTTAAACAATACAATCATATCATACAATTATCTACAATAAATGGACAGTTGACTGTAGGTATAAAAGTATAGGAGTAATGAAAACCTGATATACCATATTAAATGTATCAAGTCAGCGAGTCAAATAATGCTGACATATTAAAAGTATCAAGTCAGCGAGTCAAATAATGCTGACATATTAAATGTATCAAGTCAGCGAGTCAAATAATGCTGACATACTAAATGTATCAAGTCAGCGAGTCAAATAATGCTGACATATTCAATGTATCAAGTCAGCGAGTCAAATAATGCTGACATATTAAATGTATCAAGTCAGCGAGTCAAACTCCTTTCACCAGTGACTGATGATCACTTCACAATTTTTAAAAACTCAGAAACTTAATCAAATGAAAGAACATGTACTTGTATGTAAAAATAAATGGAATACATTTCCCTAAATTTCAGCCAATACTTGTTAAATAGGCCCATGTCTCTATTTCACATATTGGTGTGCATGACTGCGTGGGAAGTGATTTATGTTACTGAATAATTCAGGTGTCCATCTTTGAACTTTTAGTGTTCACTTGCCACGATCATGAAACTGTTACCGGAATTCTTTTTTTGCTCAAAATATTCAGCATCGTATTTAAACAATAGTTTCTATTCAATATCATTAAACCTTTATGTAAATTATCCTTGCTTGCTTTACCTTCAGCGCACATACAATGTAATACGTGGGCTCCCGGCTGATATTTGAATTTGTTTGTTTTTAAATACTCAATAGATTCTATTTTCATTTGCAAATTAACTACGCAATTTGAATTTCACATTACATAGTTCTGATAACGTCGCAACGGAACTGATGGAAATATAGTCAGTGTTCTCGCTTCTGGATTTTGACTATTTCCATTTCATTAAAAAATATAACAGGAGCCTTCAACACAGATGATAATAAGCTCACCAGGTTTTGAAATATTTTATTCCTAAATTACAAATATTTTATTCATGAAGGACATAATGGTTAAAAGTTTAATTCGAAATTCTGTAATTATATTATTAACTTTTACCATTAAAGAGTGTGATAGTAATACAGTACTTATGAGTAAAATTAAATAGTAGAAATTAAATCATTAGTTAAGCTTGGATAGTTTTTTTTTACAAAACTGGTATTAAACGTCAGAAGTATGCAGCAAGAATTGATATCAAGCATAAAGAAATTTTGTCTGATAGACAAAAATCATATTGAACAAAAAATATTCATCTCAATTATCAGGGCTAAAACTAACACTTTTTCTCGTCATAACTGATAAAAATATATTTGATTTTTAGATATAATAATAATATACAACATTGATATAGCGCCCTATATAATTTGTAAAATTACTCTAAAGTGCTTTACAAAATATGAATAGGAGTATTAGTTAAAATTGTGAAACAAAAATGGCTGACAATCACCATTAAACAATAAGCAAGAAGATAATCATCGCAATGTGCACATAAATGAATAAATAAATAAAGGGTGATATGTACATGACATCTGTGCAAAGAGTCTAAAATGCAGACGTGAAGAGGTGAGTTTTGATGTCCCTCTTGGCCAGGGTATTTGACTTTCTAACAGCAGATGGTAAGCTATTCCACAATGTGGCCGAAACCCTCCCAGAACACCAGTTTCCATAGGTCACAGTACAAGATTTTGGGACACACAACAATGATTCTGTGTCCGACCCCAGTTATCGTAAGGGCTGATACAGGGTAACAAGCTCATGTAGGTACTGGGGAACTGTTCCATTCAGTGCCTTGTATGCATACACAAAAAAAATGTACTGCGACCTGTATCGTACAGGTAACCAGTGTAATATGAATATATATAGCACAGGTGTGATGTGCTCTCTCTTCCGAGTACAAGTAACCAAACGTGCTGCAGTGATAATGTTCTAGACCTTCTGCAGACAACTAGTTAGTTTGTCAGATATATCACAGAGCAGGGCGTTACCATAAAATGATAATCAAACCGAGAAGTAACAAGTGAATGCACCAAAATCTTGCATGCATCTGCAGTTATAAACTGCTGGATACAGCCGATGTTCCTGATCTGGTTCAGTGAACTATCAAAGTATACCCCTAGGATATCAAACATTACTATTTGTAATCTTCTGATCAGATACAATAGTTTGGTCATTGTCTAATAATATTTTCATTAAAAAAAAATGAAAAAATCTTTTAGTATTGTGCTAAAAGATTTTTTCATTTATTTTTTTTGAAAATATTGATGCTGATGTCGATAAGAGGGTGCCACGTGCACTCAGTAGATATAATTGAACTCCTATTTGTTCATCGACACTCACATCATGATCAGACTAACAAAAACAAGAAGATTCTTCAAATTCAACATCTCTAAATCATTACTTTTCTCAAAGCCATAGAATATGTGTATAGCTCATTTGAAAAAAAAATCCTTTTAAAATGGTGTATGCATGAAGTATTGTATAATTCCGTTGAATATTTAAGAAATTATGATGCTTGAAACAAACCCAGATATATCAGGTATACACCGAAAATCTGAGATTTACATAAAACAATGTAGACTGAAAGACAAACAGTATGTTTTTCCAGACTGCATGTCTTCCAACAGGGAACGAGTCAGCAGATATCCCTTTCTAGAAAGGCCATTTTCGTCCAAATTTAGTTAATTTATCATTTTTTTTACTTCGAAAAAGGTCTTTTGCTACTGGTTTCCCTTTAAGACAGAAGAATAAATGCCCCCTTAATATAAAACATGAATGCTGAATCACATGTCTTACATTCCCGAACCTTGTATTTCGGATATGACATACAAGGTAAAAATGCTCATAATTTTTTTAATCCACATTTAATATCATAACAATTTACATGAACTTTGAAATTCATCAACCTTACACAGTTATTTAGTAGAACAAAAGAAGAAAATGTTTTATTTACATGCTACTCAAATATTCAATGTATATTTTACTTAATGAACCGAAAATAACTCCCCGCTAAAAACCACCGCCATTCAGTAACCAGATGAATGTCAATATAAGACATGAATAGTTAATTTTGTCAACATCGGTGATTAATTACTTTCCGTGCCTTTCTAAAATTATCCCTTTTACACATACTCCAACGAGTAGTGTTTACAGAAACAATTTACAGATCCAGGCATATTTATCACGAGCTGTCACTCGGCCGTCTCACCACACACTGCAGATTCACAGATTTCGTGTAACAGAACAGCAAATTACCTCCATCTAAACTTACCTGTCTAAATCGTAGTGACGAAAACATTCACTGCAACTGCGTTTATCGAAATCACTCTTTCTATCCACGTATTTTTCAAGGAAATTGTCCCGATCTGCGGACAGCATTGTGTACACTTCCAATGGTGTTTACATTCAGGGGGTTTCTTGTTTTATATTGGCTTTCCACTACATTCGGTGGTTTACTTCTGAACCAATACACAAGCAAGAGATATTCCGAATGGGAAAAAATATAAAACAATGAAACGGTCGCCGGATATTTTTTTCCGTGTTGGTCTTGGCCATTCTCTACCCAGAGTTGTCGTTCCTTACACTCACTAAACACGTAGTGCGAGATGAAAAGAGATTGTTTCTGTCACGGAATTAGATTATCTAAGTCCGTGGTTCTGTGTAGGCCTATATGTTGATTAACTGAGTAAAATGTTCTTTTAACTATTTTTTGGCAACGTTATAATACAAATTTTCATTATCAATCTTTTTGTGCGTATGTAAGATATTTCTGAGAAAAATCCATCTTCTTAAAGAGACGTATATACTTCTGGCCCTATATATACCGCTCTGTCATTAAATAATTGTATTGCTCACCAATAGTTACATAGTAACTTGAAGGCAAATAACATAAAAACAAATATACATAGAAACTGCAATAGTCAACAATATATAAACTTACACAGAAGCCAGGCCCACTGACATTCCTCAGTACAAGTGACTGTTTATATATAAGCACGAGTCAAGTATAAGTCGCATATTGTCAGAAGATGAAATATGTATTAAAGTATTTGTGTCTAGTATATAATAGTTTTGAATATATCTACTTAAATAGTCCTTTCTCAGCTGTGCACTATAGCCACACATAAAGAAGAAGTGTTCTTCATCTTCTAGAACAAGACATGTATTGGCATACTCTTTGCCCTCTATTTTTTTTTTCTTGATCTTCCTATGACTAGTTTAAGGTTATGCTCACACAATCTGAATTTTGTGTTCATTAGTGATAGATAGGCATTTTTCTTGTGTGTATGTTTTCTAAACATCTATATATAAGAATCATTTATTTTTATCCGTCATCGATTGTAGTTTCCTGAAAAAGTTAATTTCAAATTCTTTAAAAATGCAAGTTTTAATTCTCTGTTGCAATTTTTCAATTATTTCAATTTATTGCAGATGAGGTTCTGACCATTCATTAAGTCATGAAGCCCATTTTGTCTCCACCATGTCTTTGGTATAACTATAATATGAACTAGAACACTGACAGGTCAGTAAGGGCCCCGTTTTGTGGCAATATATCCCCCATAATCATCAAGAAGCAATCTGGCCATATAGTTGAGCTTGACGTTTGACATTAGGAAGCAAAATATACATTTTACATGTACTATGATGGGAGTCTTGATTCCTTCCACCTCCATATTTGCTAGGCTAACAGAAATGTAAATCCCGGTTCAATACTCATTTGTTAGCCTTGATTTGTTTTATTTCACCTTATATACCTCCTCAATCAAGAGCCAGGGTCAAAGTCAGAGATCCACTTTGTCTTTGACCTTTGTACCCAAATGACCTTGACCATTAACCCAGTGACCCTGATCTTTGGTCAGTTGACGTATTCTTTAATTCCGTCCAACTTTGCTTCTTAATATCATAAGAAAATGTTAATCAGAAAAACATACAAAACTTGACCTTGACCCTTTGGACCCCGTAACCTGGACCTAAAGTCAGTTGACTCTGTGTTAAGTTCTGAACAACATTGCTTCATAATGTCATAACAAAATGTTCATCAGGGAAAAGGTACAAAATTTAACCTTCACCTTTGACCCAGTGACCTTGATCTTTGGTCAATTGACTCCTTGTTTAATCCTGATCAACTTTGCTTCAGCATGTCATAACAAAATGTTCATCAGTGAAAAGATGCAAAATTTGACCTTGACATTTGTATCTAATGACCTTGACCTTTGACCTCAATTTTTTACCTCAGTATGTCTCATAGTTTAATTCCAAACAACTTTGCTTCATAATGTCATAGCGAAATGTTCACCAGTGAAAATCTACACAATTTGACCTTGACCCCTGACCCGATGACCTTGACCTTTGGTCAGTTGACTCCTTGTTTAATCCTGATCAACTTTGCTTCATAATGTCATAACAAAATGTTCATCAGTGAATGACCATGACCTTTGAACCTAATGACCTTAACCTTTGACCTTGACTTTTTACCTCAATGTGTATTTTTGTGAACTGAACATCTTGACCAAGTTTCATGAACATCGGTCAATAAATGCCAAAGTAATCAGCCAAGAACAAAATTTGTGGACGGACAGACAGACAGACAGACAGACAGACAAACAGACAGACAGACAGACAGACAGACAGAGTGATTACTATAGGGCACCCGTATCTCCGATACGGGGCCCTAATAAACACCACTCTCGTCTAATATTCTATTGAGTGTAAAGGATTCTGTAACCAAGGGTTCATATTGTTATTTTGTTAAATTCTGCTTAAATAATTACATGCTTGAACATTAACTACGATTTCCACAGGGTACTGACCAAACTCGGTTCTTGACCCCATGTTTACTGCCCTCTTAGGACACCATAGGGTCTGCTTGCAGAACTTGAAATGAATTTGTTAAAATGAGCTTAAAACAATAGTTGGTATTAATCCTGTTATAACAAGATAGGCCGCTGGTCTGTTATTTTTTTTATCGGATATGATTTATTATGTCAACCTCCATGGCTCTTGTCAAAAGTATCTCGCGTGTAAACCTACAGTGTTGGAGTACAATCTTCCCAACGATGCCTATCATTTTTTTTTACACCAGCCACTTTATTTATAAACGCATTTTATTCTGTATGTTTTTGAAAAAGTTAACCTCTAGATCTACTTAAAAGTTCCACTGAGCTTATCGCGAAAGTGACTAGAAAATGCCGATTCATGCGTTGACGAGCGTTGTCGACATGTTCAGTCGTCATTCGGTCGACAAACGATGTACAACAAACACTGACGTCATACTTTCTATTAATATAGTATACACACATCATATTACTATTAGTGTGTCCAGCACTTGTAAAACATATCATAAAATCACTGGTTAACAATCATCAATGAACATGTGTCTTAATAGGATCCTATCAGTAATATTTTTGCAGTTTCATTAAAAGAAAATTCCAATACAATTGTACATCTTACTTTATAATTACTGCTATCAATTTTGTTTAGACATGTTTTTTAAACATCCTGTATTTCCATATTTGATCAATGTTTTCTTTACATTTTACCATATTTGGGTTCAATGACACATACCCCGTACGTTTATCATTCCGTGATTTCTTAATGTTATATTAATTACCTATAAGTGTTTTATAAATGTTTTACTAGATAAGATAAGGACATTTAATAGCTGTGTAGAATGGCTATTCCGGAAACCTGACTATAGCGCCGTGTGTAACAGGTAACAGATGGTACCTGTACAACGTCACTAACCGTGTGTGGTTTGTTCTATAGGAAGATTTGATATTTGAATAGGATATTGACGCACGATTTTAACATGTTTATGGCAAATAAAACGTCATTTTTAACTATTGCTTTATATAAAAGGTAATGGCTTATTATCAACCGAGTCCTATTATCCTTCGAGGAATGACCGTTCCTAATGAACTGTATCAATTCCTGAATGTTTTTTATTCAATGGATTCCTTTCGCCACTAGGATTGACATTAACTGTTTCAAAATAAACATGCATCATGATTATTTCCCAGATTTAGTTTAAACCACTTGTTACTAAGGTAACAAATCAGTTGTTTTAGGAATGTCGTGCCTTGTCCTCGACCACAGTTCTACCGGTCTCCACACCACCACGGGACTGCGGTATTTACATACATGATATCAAGGTAACCAGCGGACTCTTACTTTGTATGATTCGTTTTGGTTGTTGTTTTCAATAGGCCTACAGTGTAGTACCCGTTTGTTGCTTTCCTATACGTGTCATCCTCTTCCATTACACTGTTGATGTCCGAAAAGACATCTGGTTTATAAAGAAAACCGCAAACTCTCCTCTTGTTCATTGGCGTGTGTCTCTCCTTCATATCATCCTGGGTATGAAACACTTTGGAATGCAACCTGCAATGTATATTGTTAAAACTTCACCTTTTTTGTATGACGATGATATCCACCTTCAAATTCAAGGTACTGCAGTGGGACCCCTAGTGTCCCCTTAGTGTGTAACATCATCAATGTACTGCAGTGGGACCCCTAGTGTCCCCTAAGTGTGTAACATCATCAATGTATTGCAGTGGAACCCTTAGTGTCCCCTTAGTGTGTAACACCATCAAGGTACTGCAGTGGGATCCCTAGTGTCCCCTTAGTGTGTAAAATCATCAATGTACTGCAGTGGGATCCCTAGTGTCCCCTTAGTGTGTAACACCATCAAGGTCCTGCAGTGGGACCCCTGGTGTCCCCTTAGTGTGTAACATCATCAATGACAGATTCTGCGTCGTTCGCACTCAGTAATGCTTATCACCTTCAAGTTGGCGTTTTCGCAGTGTGGATAATTGCGCCTATACAACTCAGTTACTGATACACTATGCCACCTATACAACTCAGTTACTGATGCACTATGCCACCTATACAACTCAGTTACTGACACACTATGACACCTATACAACTCAGTTACTGACACACCCCTAGTGTCCCCTTAGTGTGTAACACCATCAATGTACTGCTGTGTTATCCCTAGTGTGCCCTGAGTGTGTAACACCATCAAGGTACTGCAGTGGGCCCCCTAGTGTCCCCTTAGTGTGTAAAATCATCAATGTACTGCAGTGGGACCCTTAGTGTCCCCTAAGTGTGTAACACCATCAAGGTACTTCAGTGGGACCCCTAGGGTCCCCTTAGTGTGTAACATCATCAATGACAGATTCTGCGTCGTTCGCACTCAGCCATGCTTATCACCTTCAAGTTGGTGTTTTCGCAGTGTGGATAATTGCGCCTATACAACTCAGTTACTGATACCCTATGCCACCTATACAACTCAGTTACTGACACACTTGTAACATCATCAATGTATTGCAGTGGGACCCTTAGTGTCCCCTAAGTGTGTAACACCATCAAGGTACTTCAGTGGGACCGCTAGTGTCCCCTTAGTGTGTAACACCATCAAGGTACTTCAGTGGGACCCCTAGTGTCCCCTTAGTGTGTAACATCATCAAGGACAGATTCTGCGTCGTTCGCACTCAGCAATGCTTATCACCTTCAAGTTGGTGTTTTCGCAGTGTGGATAATTGCGCCTATACAACTCAGTTACTGATACACTATGCCACCTATACAACTCAGTTACTGCCACACTATGCCACCTATACAACTCAGTTACTGCCACACTATGCCACCTATACAACTCAGTTACTGCCACACTATGCCACCTATACAACTCAGTTACTGACGCACTATGCCACCAATACAACTCAGTTACTGACTCACTATGCCACCTATACAACTCAGTTACTGATACACTATGCCACCTATACCACTCAGTTACTGACACACTATGCCACCTATACAACTTAGTTACTGATGCACTATGCCACCTATATAACTCAGTTACTGACCCACTATGCCACCTATACAACTCAGTTACTGATGCACTATGCCACCAATACAACTCAGTTACTGATGCACTATGCCACCTATATAACTCAGTTACTGACACACTAGGCCACCTATACAACTTAGTTACTGATGCACTATGCCACCTATATAACTCAGTTACTGACACACTATGCCACCCATACAACTCAGTTACTGACACACTATGCCACCAATACAACTCAGTTACTGATGCACTATGCCACCTATATAACTCAGTTACTGACACACTATGCCACCAATACAACTCAGTTACTGCCACACTATGCCACCTATACAACTCAGTTACTGCCACACTATGCCACCTATACAACTCAGTTACTGACCCACTATGCCACCTATACAACTCAGTTACTGATGCACTATGCCACCTATATAACTCAGTTACTGACACACTATGCCACCTTTATAACTCAGTTACTGACACACTATATCACCAATACACCTCAGTTACTGATGCACTATGCCACCTATATAACTCAGTTACTGACACACTATGCCACCCATACAACTCAGTTACTGACACACTATGCCACCAATACAACTCAGTTACTGATGCACTATGCCACCAATACAACTCAGTTACTGACACACTATGCCGCCTATACAACTCAGTTACTGACACACTATGCCACCTTTATAACTCAGATACTGACACATTATGCCACCTATGTAACTCAGTTACTGACACGCTATGCCACCTATATAACTCAGTTACTGACACACTAGGCCACCTATACAACTTAGTTACTGATGCACTATGCCACCAATACAACTCAGATACTGACACACTATGCCACCTATATAACTCAGTTACTGACCCACTATGCCACCTATACAACTCAGTTACTGATGCACTATGCCACCTATACAACTCAGTTACTGATGCACTATGCCACCTATATAACTCAGTTACTGACACACTAGGCCACCTATACAACTTAGTTACTGATGCACTATGCCACCAATACAACTCAGTTACTTACACACTATGCCACCTTTATAACTCAGTTACTGACACACTATATCACCAATACAACTCAGATACTGATGCACTATGCCACCAATACAACTCAGTTACTTACACACTATGCCACCTTTATAACTCAGTTACTGACACACTATATCACCAATACACCTCAGTTACTGATGCACTATGCCACCTATATAACTCAGTTACTGACCCACTATGCCACCTATACAACTCAGTTACTGATGCACTATGCCACCAATACAACTCAGTTACTGATGCACTATGCCACCTATACAACTCAGCTACTGATACACTATGCCACCTATATAACTCAGATACTGACTCACTATGCCACCTATACAACTCAGTTACTGACGCACTATGCCACCAATACAACTCAGTTACTGATGCACTATGCCACCTATATAACTCAGTTACTGACACACTAGGCCACCTATACAACTTAGTTACTGATGCACTATGCCACCAATACAACTCAGTTACTGATGCACTATGCCACCAATACAACTCAGATACTGACACACTATGCCACCTATATAACTCAGATACTGACACATTATGCCACCTATGTAACTCAGTTACTGACACACTATGCCACCTATATAACTCAGTTACTGAAACACTATGCCACCTATACAACTCAGTTACTGATGCACTATGCCACCTATACAACTCAGTTACTGACACACTATGCCACCTATATAACTCAGTTACTGACACACTATATCACCAATACAACTCAGATACTGATGCACTATGCCACCAATACAACTCAGATACTGACACACTATGCCACCTATATAACTCAGTTACTGACACACTATGCCACCTATACAACTCAGTTACTGACACACTATATCACCAATACAACTCAGTTACTGATGCACTATGCCACCAATACAACTCAGATACTGACACACTATATGCCACCTATATAACTCAGTTACTGATAAACTATGTCACATATACAACTCAGTTACTGACACACGATGCCACCTATACAACTCAGTTACTGACACACTTTATCAACAATACACCTTAGTTACTGACACACTATGCCACAACTGAATATAAATATTGATGAAAATTTAAAAAGAAAGAGAACTGAGGGAAATACTAAAAGCAAGCTTCTGGCAGTATATAAAGATTAACAAGCATGATTACACAGATGAGTAGGACCGAACTCGACAACCTACGTCTGCTGATACAAGAATCTGTTTCAGGTAAATAGCTCTCATGTCATAATTATGGTCGAATTCAGCTCTGCAGACATCGCTGGTGTCTCAGATAAGATGTTTACTGTTGTGTTACAGATTAATGATCCTGCTGGTAACTTACGCATAAAAAGGGGCATTTACAACAATCACTACGGTAAAATGATTCATTTCATATATGAAGTTTGATTTGCTGGTAATATTAAGTCTCCTAGCCTCAAGGAAAGCATATGTTTTAATTGTTAAAGTTAGTCCATTTAATTGTTTTGTCAATTGTTCTGCCTATTTCTGATGCTTATACGTAGATTGTACATAAAAGGCACTTTGGGATAAGCATGCAACTTTGCATGGATATTAGGTAAATGATGATAAATGATTTGTAAAAGTTTCATACTTATCCCTTTTTACTTAAAACACACCCTTTCTTGTGTTTTGGAATACAAGGACTAAAGTGCATCTCCTCCTTCATTTCTGCACCTTTCATTTCCCTTAAGATTGAGAAATATTTGAAATTATCAAGTTTGAGATGTGTCCAGAAGCCATAACTCAGTATAAAACAAAAGGGAAGAGTATAGTGAATATGCATTTTATGTAAGTGTACTCAAATGAGTAAAGTTGTAAAATGCAACTCAAAATATAAATTAGAAAGGAAATTATTGAGAAAACAAAACATTTTTCATTTGAAAATTACCTTAAACAACACCCTGACTTAATCCTCCGTTTGATATTTTCTGTCATTTTTCATTCTTTTATACATGTCTGTTTAATCAACACATGTTTCCAAAAACAAAAATGGCATTATTTTTGTTGTTTTAGCTCATTCTGAAAGCAGCAAATTATATTCGTGATGATTTCCCCTACCCATTTTGGTACCCCAAAAACCCACTTTCGGTCAAACTTTTGCCTTAGTTTTTGCGCATGTGAAACAATAAGACATCTTTGAACAAATTAAGGAGGTAAACATCGGATATACCGGGGCCCAAAACAGGGCCTTATAGATACTCATCCTTTAATGAATTATTAAAAGGAAGTTACCGAATTCTTAAAACTCATGAAGAATTAAAAATCTACCGTGTAAATCTTGACTACCAGATAATGTTGTGAGTGTACATAATATAAAGGATAGAAAATAAAACTAAACAAGAACTGAGAGAACAAAGATTTATTATAAAATAATTTCAAGACAGATTATGTATGAACGATTACATGATATGTTTCTTAACAAATAAAAAAAGTAAAACAAGATAATATCATTTTCAATTTAAATATAAGTTGTATGCATGTATTTATGTACACACACCTACACTCACACAAGTTGAAGTAGGGAATGCTGAAGTAAACAGTTGTTGCAGTAGGGGGATAAAACATGAAATAGTCGTCTTAAAGAGGGATATAGCATGATATGTGTGTTGTTGTAGAGGGATAAAACATGAAATAGTCGCCTTAGAGAGGGACATATCATGATATGTGTGTTGTTGTAGAGGGATATAGCATGATATGTGTGTAGTTCTAGAGGGATATTGCATGATATGTGTGTTGTTGTAGAGTGATATAGCATGATATGTGTGTTGTTGTAGCGGGATATAACATGATATGTGTGTAGTTGTAGAGGGATATTGCATGATATGTGTGTTGTTGTAGAGTGATATAGCATGATATGTGTGTTGTTGTAGCGGGATATAACATGATATGTGTGTAGTTGTAGAGGGATATTGCATGATATGTGTGTTGTTATAGAGGGATATAGCATGAGATGTTTGTTGTTGTAAAGGGATATAGCATGATATGTGTGTTGTTATAGAGGGATATAGCATGAGATGTTTGTTGTTGTAAAGGGATATAGCATGATATGTGTGTTGTTATAGAGGGATATAGCATGAGATGTTTGTTGTTGTAAAGGGATATAGCATGATATGTGTGTAGTTGTAGATGGATATAGCATGATATGTGTGTTGTTGTAAAGCGATATAGCATGATATGTGTGTTGTTATAGAGGGATATAGCATGAGATGTTTGTTGTTGTAAAGGGATATAGCATGATATGTGTGTTGTTGTAGAGGGATATAACATGATATGTGTGTAGTTGTAGAGGGATATAACATGATATGTGTGTTGTTGTAGAGGGATATAACATGATATGTGTGTAGTTGTAGAGGGATATTGCACGAAACAGGTGTTATAGTAGGGAATGTACAGCGTGAATAGCCGTTTCAGCAGGGGTTATAAGGAAAGAAAACCTAAAACTTTGATTTATTTTACAACACTTCTGAAACAAGGTTTTAACTTATATTATCGCTCAGAGGATCTTAATGTGGGAGGAAACCGATCAGAGAATCGAAACCAAACCGCCTTTGCCATTTGCATTGTAGTAGGGTATACTCAGCATTAAAACCCAGCCGCCTTGGCCATTGACATTGATACTCAGCATTTCGTTTGATATTAAACATAGACAGGAACATCTTACAGACATCTTTCAAGTTGTCTTATTACAATCAGACGGTCACCAACTATATGAACAAAGATTCACATTTACTAATCAGGTTGTCAGGTAGACACCACCACAGACACCAAATATACTCCAGGCTACGGGCTACAAGGTGTGTAATACATACATCACAACTCTCTCTAGATACTATAAAGTGTTAGACACCGGTATGGAAATGCAAACAGCAAAAAATATCACCAATTCTAAATATGTCCATTAAATATTTCCATTAGAATGTCTTGAATGTCTTAGTGTACCTATCTTTACACCATAAGACTGCCATCCAACCTCTGCTCCTCAGCAAGCACTGCCCCCACACCACGTATCATTTCGCGGACAGCCTCGATCTCGGTTAGGCCCAATCTCCTCTTGTTGGAAATGTCGTAAATGTCTCCAGTCATTTCCGTGTGCACACCATTTACACCTACAGTGAAAAACCCAAAAAACTTGTATATGTAAATTTAACTAAGAAATGTGAAAGCTCCCTAGTTTTCTTCTCAATATTTACCAAAGACAACTTCAATTATATCTTTGAGTGATTCTATTTTAATGAGGATTTATTTATTTATTTACAGAGAATTGCTATATATCTTACACAATGTATATTACTTGTCACAATAAGTGATAGCTTGATCCTAATATAACATTGATGTTTCTGGAAATGTATTTAAAATCTCACGGCAATCTTTTTACAATCACACTCTGCTATATGTGTACTATTAAACATTGTTGTATGACTTACACAAGCATTGTCATTCTTTACATTAAAATATTCTGAAATTGTAATAAAGAGTTCATGGCTCGTAACTATGATGAAAAGAAAGTATTTGTCAAGTCCCAACATACTATGGTGCTAGCCTTATTGATAACACATTTACTGCGAAGTACAGAATGCAATAAATTAATTGACAAACAGCATTTGTTTATTCAGGGTTTTTAGACTGTGCTTGAACAAGTTATTATTACATGCGTCCACAGACGATAGGGGTGACACTCAATGACCAATTTAGTGTGTAACATCTCATTAACCTATATATAGGACAAAGAAAACAAACTCCTGGTCACATAATTCCGCCTAACCAGAAACCTACCTCTTACTTGCAGGTGATGTTTTTCTAAGAAGTCATGGAAGTAAGGTTTACTCGCGAGACATGGGATTTTGATATGTACGCTGGCTCTCAGAGTGGTACCAAGGTTGGTAGGACAGTAGCCTAGGAACCCAAGGTTGGGATGATGGGCGAACTTCAGGCTGCTTCTCTCCTCCAGAGATTTCATGGCCTAAAAGAAAGTGCTCAGAGTGAGTAGGACGCAGTATCATAACCTCGAAATATCATTGTTCTCTCGTGTTTTTACGCTGTTCACATAAAGTACATACGGGCATTCCCCCATGGCAATATTTGTGCAATTTTACTGTTTATCAACCTTTTATTGTTTGACCCTGTATGACCCATTTCAAACATATGGGTAGTATTTCGGTAATAGCATACACTTCCTTCACGATGAATGACGTTGAAATTGTGTACTGTATTAGAGTTACTACAGAAAAGAATATGTAAAGAGACGATAAAACTGACACTATTGAAGTTTACCCCAATCAACGGGAATAGACAAAACGCTAATTTACTATCGTCTGTAATCAAGGAAGGCGATTATACATCAAATGTATGTTTACTTTAAAAGAAGAAAACAACAATATAATGGTTATGTTTAAGACAGCACAATGACAAATGGGAGGTACAATATTCAACTTTAGAAGAACTGACTTCAGTGTGCTCTTCTGAATATAGCAATCAAACTCCATACAATGATTCACTGTAGACTGGAATCACCAGGAGGGGTCTTTGCTACTGTAGACGATGGGCCGGGTGTTCTCCCGGATTTCAATAGTCCTGTTAGAATTAAAAGTGAAAACAAGCAAAACAACATCATATCACGAAACTCATTGAAAAACGGATTCTGTTTGATCAGATGAAAAAATGATTGAGGCTGAGGTTACAACAAGAGTTCGTATTTTGTTAAACACAGGAAATAACAAGTTCGCTACACCAAACAAACATATATTACTGCTACACTTCTGCCGCAACTGGTCACAAACTACTGGATAACTGTTTAATTGGTCTTTTGCCTTCACTACCTACCAAATTACTGGTATCCGGCCTGCTACTGATACTGAAATTAATAGAATACCCGCCTCTGTGTAAGAGTTTGTTTTGGTTGTCAATTTTCTTTTAATTTCGGTCAATGAAGATTCATGAAATATTTAGTATTTCAGAAAAATCTAAATCTGATTATAAAACTCGTTGATAATTTACGACCATTCAAAGAAAATAAAGCAACCGTATGCTGAAGACTCAACACAGAATTTGTAATCAATATGAAAAGACAACAACAGAAACAGTCACCAGAACCAAAGGAAAAACATAATTATTATTATCTGACGTCAATGCGAGTCGCATGCAAGCACCTTCAGTTCATTCATACATATGTCACCAGAGCTGAACAACACGTACCGTTACCAGCCGTCTGTACACGGTACCCAAGTCACTCCCCTCCTGCATTGAGATGAACCGAAGGTGGTCCTCCTCGTTCACCCATACCAAGAACGTCCTGGATGGGTTGTAGAATATTCCCCGTCCCACTGGCCAGTCGTCATAGACATTGGCATCGCCAAGGAACCTGTCATATTCAATTATTACTATATAACTGGTTTAAATTCATTTTTTTTTTAATTTGAGAAAATATAAATTTCAAATCAATGCTACGTTTATGCTGTTTAGTTATGCTAACCTGTAATCTGATCACACATTTACGGTATCCCGTCACGTGAACTACATAATACCCATTCCGTCAGGTGAATTAGATATTTGGTTATCCCTATAGCTGAATTGCACATTAAGGTTATCCAAGTATCTTAATTATTACCATATACGCATCTTTCTTGCTTTATAGTTAGCTTCAATTATACAGGGTTATCAGATCTTACAGCTCCTCTTTGTATAAATCAAGTGAAGTCACTTAATGTTTACTTATGTCGCTATTGAGCACTAGACCCAAGGACTGTCGATAACCCCATTACCTATTTCCCTGTAAATAGAGGAAGTGTTTTATAATGTCGCTATAGAGCACTAGACCCAAGGACTGTCGATAACCCTGTAACCTATTTCCCTGTAAATAGAGGAAGTGTTTTATAATGTCGCTATTGAGCACTAGACCCAAGGACTGTCGATAACCCCGTTACCTATTTCCCTGTAAATAGAGGAAGTGTTTTATAATGTCGCTATTGAGCACTAGACCCAAGGACTGTCGATAACCCCGTTACCTATTTCCCTGTAAATAGAGGAAGTGTTTTATAATGTCGCTATTGAGCACTAGACCCAAGGACTGTCGATAACCCCGTTACCTATTTCCCTGTAAATAGAGGAAGTGTTTTATAATGTCGCTATTGAGCACTAGACCCAAGGACTGTCGATAACCCCGTTACCTATTTCCCTGTAAATAGAGGAAGTGTTTTATAATGTCGCTATTGAGCACTAGACCCAAGGACTGTCGATAACCCCGTTACCTATTTCCCTGTAAATAGAGGAAGTGTTTTATAATGTCGCTATTGAGCACTAGACCCAAGGACTGTCGATAACCCCGTTACCTATTTCCCTGTAAATAGAGGAAGTGTTTTATAATGTCGCTATTGAGCACTAGACCCAAGGACTGTCGATAACCCCGTTACCTATTTCCCTGTAAATAGAGGAAGTGTTTTATAATGTCGCTATTGAGCACTAGACCCAAGGACTGTCGATAACCCCGTTACCTATTTCCCTGTAAATAGAGGAAGTGTTTTATAATGTCGCTATTGAGCACTAGACCCAAGGACTGTCGATAACCCCGTTACCTATTTCCCTGTAAATAGAGGAAGTGTTTTATAATGTCGCTATTGAGCACTAGACCCAAGGACTGTCGATAACCCCGTTACCTATTTCCCTGTAAATAGAGGAAGTGTTTTATAATGTCGCTATTGAGCACTAGACCCAAGGACTGTCGATAACCCCGTTACCTATTTCCCTGTAAATAGAGGAAGTGTTTTATAATGTCGCTATTGAGCACTAGACCCAAGGACTGTCGATAACCCCGTTACCTATTTCCCTGTAAATAGAGGAAGAGTTTAATAATGTCGCTATTGAGCACTAGACCCAAGGACTGTCGATAACCCCGTTACCTATTTCCCTGTAAATAGAGGAACCCCGTTACCTATTTCCCTGTAAATAGAGGAAGTGTCCCTCTGTAAGCTCGATCTGTTTGTCCTCGCTCATTTCGCTTAGGGAATAATATGATCCCTTCAATTCCCCACTTAAGGTATCCAAAGCTGCCTTTGCCCTGGATTCTAGTTCTTTCCGATCCTGCAAGATACAAATTAGGATAAAACAATATGTTTATACGTGGTAAAATAGATACTGTATAAGTTTCAAGTTCTATGACACGATTCTTAGGGTTGTTCTTTTGAGACTGTGAACAACATAAACAACTGACATTCACAATTCTACAACTAACGTCTTGTTCAACACAACACGATAAAGACAGGTAACATACATATGTCATTATTTTACTGTCAAACACTTTATTTAGAGTCGTAATATATCAGTCAGAGGGCCCGGAAATCCCCTTGTCCTCGGAGGTTGTTTTGTGTGAAGGTTATGAGATATGTTTTCTATTGTTATCAGGTTGTTGGTCATTCTTTTTCGTTTGTTTCTAACGTCATTGTTATTAACTTTGATAGTTAATTGTATTCAATTATATTTGTGGTTGTAAACAGATTTAGTGGTGTTTAGATTTTGTTTGTAACTATTATACGATTTGTTTTTGAATTTCATATTTGTTCGGGTTTTCGTGAGAGATGTTTGTGATTATTATTGGATTTGAAAGTTATAAGATTTGTTTGTTGGTTTCTGTATTTTGTTTATTAATTTTCCTGGTTGACTTGAAGTGTTAACACCACTAGGTCATCGGTTCGAGACCTACGTGGGGCAGTTGCTAGGTACTGGCCGTAGGTCGGTGGTTTTCCTCCACCACCAAAACCTGGCACATCCTTTAATGACCTTAGCTGTTGATAGGACATTACTACATTAAATACAGAAAAGACGAAAATAATAGTTTTTAGGAATGGTGGCATACTACGGAATAACGAAAAGTGGATATATGATAACATAGAGCTGCAAGTTGTTAATCAGTTCAATTACTTAGGAATGCTTTTCAATTATAATGGTAAATTTAATGTTACACAAAAACACGTTGCAGAACAAGCTAATAAGGCGTATTATGCAATTTGTAGCAAACTGAAAAATCATAATTTTAATATTGAAACACAATGTGCAGTTTTTGATACATATATAAATAGCATTTTGAGCTACAGTGCAGAGATATGGGGATTTCATAATGCTTTAGATGTCGAGAAAATACATATGAATTTTTGTAAACGGCTACTCGGAGTTAAAAAGAGTACCTGTAATAATTTAGTATATTATGAGTTAGGAAGAATGCCACTGGCGGAAAGTAGAAAGCTTCGTATCATTAAATATTGGTTAAAATTAAGAAATATAGATAATTGTATTTTAAAAACTTGTTATGAAGAAAGGATTTTGTCGAATGACAGTTGGATTATAAATATCCAGGGGGAACCTTTGCAAATTAGGTTTAGGTTATTTATGGGACATCAATGGTAACACTACTGATAGACATATTTATAAAATAATTGAACAACGGTTTTACGATATATATCAGCAAAACTTATTATCTAACATTCAAACTATTTCTAGAGGTTTTCTTTATCAACATCTTATTGACAAATTTACCCTGCAATACTATTTGAGAAAACCTATCAATAATTTATACAAAAAATACTTAACACGTTTTAGATTAAGCTCACATAGTTTAAATATTGAGCAAGGCAGGTACAGAAATCAACCAAGAGAACAACGACTTTGTACATTCTGTAACGCTAATGATGTTGAAGATGAATTCCATTTTATACTTAAATGCAAATTTTATGAGGATTTTAGGCATGAATATATTAAACCTTATTTTTACAAACGACCAAGTGTTTTCAAGTTAATAGAACTGTTCAATACCAAAATCGTTAAAGATCTAAATAACCTAGGCAAATTTTTGCATTTAAGTACAAAACGACGAAATAATATTGTTTAACTAAATATAATACTGCATGTTCTGTATGTTATACCCACATACAGGTATATTGTGTTTTAATAATCTATGTTATGCATTGTACACTATTGCATCAACTGTAATTTGTGTTATACATTGTGATATTTTGTACATATGTATGTCTACTCTCCGATGTGTTGTAAACATAAGGAAATAAAGAATCTGAATCTGAGGACGTACAACACAACAAACCAAACCAGACTTTTAAGTGTTAAAATGGTGATTCCCTCCCTACCCGTTGGAAAGCCATTAAAGTCATATTTCTATACAAAAGTGTTTGTACCTCAGATGTATTGAACCAAAACCTTGTATCTGTTTTAATATTTTATTGAAGTCATTGAAACACAAATACCTGATAGTGATTTAGTTTGTATAACTGAATCACACCTCAGCCCTCTAATCGCAAACTCTGATATTAAATTGGAATCTTTTTCAACAGGGTGGTGGTGGGGTTGTAATCTATCATAAAAACATAAGTAAGCGCCGACCAGATATCGAAAGTGAACATGTTGAAAGGATTTGAGGAAAATTTAGTTCAAAAACATAATTTCATGGTAGGCTGCATATCTACATCTAAAATTGGGCATCGGAAATAAATTGAAATTAAATTAAAACAGTCAGTACGTCCATGAATATATTAATAACATGTGCTTTTAATACTGACACCCATAAGACTAAACCCTGATGTTAAGCCCTGAATGAACGCAACTCTTAGACTAAGAATGAGACAAAGAAATAGGATACATAATATTGCTAAGTGATCTGATACAACGGAAAGAACACAGGAAAAATGAACGTAAGATATGCATACGTCGTGACTGTATCACAGGCACTAGCCTTTCTATACCACGTGTGTATAGACAGACGAGGCTAGTACCTGTGACTGTATCACAGACACTAGCCTTTCTATACCACGTGTGTATAGACAGACGAGGCTAGTACCTGTGACTGTATCACAGACACTAGCCTTTCTATACCACGTGTGTATAGACAGACGAGGCTAGTACCTGTGACTGTATCACAGACACTAGCCTTTCTATACCACGTGTGTATAGACAGACGAGGCTAGTACCTGTGACTAACCTTTAAAGTTTTGCCATAGATACAGTATTCCAATGTGGAACAAATAAAACGAACAAGGAAGTTATTTACCTGACAGAGTTACACTATTTTATATTGATAACTCACTTACAAAACACCGAACTGATCAAGCTAAAGCACTTTACGATCAGTACTTAACGACTGTTTCCCCGCCACAAATATCAGATAAGCTAGATGAACCTCCAACCCCAGATGTAACCTCGCCATACAAGTTATAAAGTACAGAGATTTCTGAACAGGATGCTAATGATCAAAAGACTATTTTAAATGTAAATTAACTTTAAAGACCTGATGGAATACTGCCTTAGTGGAAACCACCCTTTTTGATCCCACGAAAAAAATGTATGTATAAAGATGTTAATCAGGGCCATGGTGGTTGATAGATGAGAGCACTGTGAGTAAAGAAAAACGTTTACAAAATGCTTACACAATTCAGAGACAGATATCAGTAACGTCAGGCTTCTATAAAATGTCTTTAAATATATGATAATACGTAATTTGTTATATGGGCTCTGTGTATATGACATATTGTGATGTTATATGGCCTCTGTTTATATGACATATCGTGATGTTATATGGCCTCTGTTTATATGACATATCGTGATGTTATATGGCCACTGTTTACATGACATATCGTGATGATATATGGCCTCTGTTTATACGACATATCGTGATGTTATATGGCCTCTGTTAATATGACATGTCGTGATGTTATATGGCCTCTGTTTATATGACATATCGTGATGTTATATGGCCTCGTTTATATGACATGTCGTGATGTTATACGGCCTCTGTTTATATAACATATAGTGATGTTATATGGCCTCTGTTTATATGACATGTCGTGATGTTATATGGCCTCTGTTTACATGACATGTCGTGATGGTATATGGCCTCTGTTTATATGACATATCGTGATGTTATATGGCCTCTGTTTACATGACATATCGTGATGTCATATGGCCTCTGTTTATACGACACATCGTGATGTTATATGGCCTCTGTTTATATATGGCCTCTGTTTATACGACATATCGTGATGTTATAGGGCCTATGTTTATATGACATATCGTGGTGTTATATGGCCTCTGTTTAGATGACATATCGTGATGTTATATGGACTCTGTTTATATGACATATAGTGATGTTATATGGCCTCTTTTTATATGACATATCGTGATGGTATATGGCCTCTATGTATATGACATATCGTGATGATATATGGCCTCTGTTTATATATGGCCTCTGTTTATATAACATATCGTGATGTTATATTGCCTCTGTTTACATGACATGTCGTTATGTTATATGTCCTCTGTGTATATGACATGTCGTCATGTTATATGGCCTCTGTTTGCATGACATGTCGTGATGTGATATGGCCTCTGTGTATATGACATATCGTGATGATATATGGCCTCTGTTTATACGACACTTCGTGATGTTATATGGCCCCTGTTTATATGACATATCGTGGTGTTATATGGCCTCTGTTTGCATGACATGTCGTGATGTGATATGGCCTCTGTTTTCATAACATATCGTACTGTTATATGGCCTCTTTTTACATAACATGTCGTGATGTTATATGTCCTCTGTTTACATGACATATCGTGAAGTTATATGGCCTCTGTTTAGATGACATATCGTGATGTTATATAGCCTCTGTTTACATGACATGTCGTGATGTTATATGGCCTCTGTGTATATGACATGTCGTGATGTTATATGGCCTCTGTTTACATGACATGTCGTGATGTTATATGGCCTCTGTTTACATGACATGTCGTGATGTGATATGGCCTCTGTTTACATAACATATCGTACTGTTATATGGCCTCTGTTTACATAACATGTCGTGATGTTATATGGCCTCTGTTTATATTACAAATCGTGATGTTATATGGCCTCTGTTTATATGACATGTCGTGATGTTATATGGCCTCTGCTTACATGACATGTCGTGATGGTATATGGCCTCTGTTTACATGACATATCGTGATGTTATATGGCCTCTGTGTATATGACATGTCGTGATGTTATATTGCCTCTGTTTATATGACATATCGCGATGTTATATGTCCTCCTTTTATATGACATGTCGTGATGTTATATGCCCTCCTTTTATATGACATATCGTGATGTTATATGGCCTCTGTTTACATGACATGTCGTGATGTTATATGGCCTCTGTTTATATGACATATCGTGATGTTATATGGCCTCTGTGTATATGACATGTCGTGATGTTATATTGCCTCTGTTTATATGACATATCGTGATGTTATATGTCCTCCTTTTATATGACATGTCGTGATGTTATATGCCCTCCTTTTATATGACATATCGTGATGTTATAAGGCCTCTGTTGACATGACATGTCGTGATGTTATATGGCCTCCTTTTATATGACATATCGTGATGTTATATGGCCTCGGTTTATATGACATATCGTGATGTTATATGGCCTCTGTTTATATGACATTTCGTGATGTTATATGGCCTCTGTTTACATGACATGTCGTGTTGTTATATGTCCTCCTTATATATGACATGTCGTGATGTTATATGGCCTCTGTTTATATGACATGTCGTGATGTTATATGGCCTCTGTTTATATGACATGTCGTGATGTTATATGGCCTCTGTTTATATGACATGTCGTGATGTTATATGGCCTCTGTTTATATGACATGTCGTGATGTTATATGGCCTCTGTTTATATGACATGTCGTGATGTTATATGGCCTCTGTTTATATGACATGTCGTGATGTTATATGGCCTCTGTTTATATGACATATCGTGATGTTATATGGCCTCTGTTTATATGACATATCGTGATGTTATATGGCCTCTGTTTATATGACATATCGTGATGTTATATGACATATCGTGATGTTATATGTCCTCCTTATATATGACATATCGTCGATGAAGCAGATGACGCCTACCCTTCCGGAACACCTTGTTTTATTATCATCGTTCTTTTTATGATCTCCATTCAAATATTTTACCCTTCTTATCCTTTCTTAGCTCTATTTTCGTGGTTGTTAATGAAAATGTCACCCAAAGATAATCCTGTATCCATTTATATATGTTATACACAAATGACATGACTAATATTGTTCACAATGACATGAAGCTCTTCGCAGATATATTTTAACATGTAATTCTAAATTCAATTTAAGCCTCTAGTTATCATAATCAAGACCTGGGCAGAATTATTGATTGGGCTAGCACCAATATGGGATATTGAATGGGACATCACAGTTATCCCGCCTTAACCAATATCCTAGACATTCTCCAAGTACTGTAATCATTCTCTAAATATCGACAAGTTTGATAAACGCAAATATTTTGGTGTGACTTTTTTTCAAAGAATTAAACTTGGTCTATCCATATTAATATGAACAGTCAAAAAATGCTTGATACCTACAATATAGGATTTAAAATGAGTCATTATGTACGATCTAAACAACACTCATTCCTACAACATTTGAATATGCAGATAAGGTCTGGTCAATTGATCTGATCTTCTTTAAACTCGGTTTGAATCGGTGTACTTTGAAACTATAAGAATAGATCTAAGAAGAGGTACATAACATGGAACTTTATATAAAAAAAAACTAGGTTAGAAAGTTCTGTCTGAAAGGGGAATGGATCATAGACATACCTTCATGTGTTAAACCAATAATAACTGAACACCTACCTATCTATGTGACATAATACACCTAGTTCACATTCCTGGAGATTGGAAATATCCCGTAAGGAATGTAAGAACGTTTAATCAATTATTGTGCCAAGTCTTGTGATTTAACTTCTTTGCTGTTATTTGTAAAAAGGAAATGATATAGTAAGCAACCCCTTCATCTTACTTAAAAACGTTATGTACCTCTGACAAATTTATATAAATTGTACAAGCAGGGATGACCATGTGATCTCATGTCTACTGAGAAAGAGGGCGGGTGATCTAACATAAAACCTATTCAGAGATCACCAGCATGTCTCTGAAACAGCTACTTAGTATCTCTTTCACTGGCCAATACATATATTTCAGAAAAACAAACCGAAAAAGACAACGTTTCTAATGTTACATGGATAACGCTAGCATACGTGTACTACGCAATGGTAGCACTGAGATAAACACTACTAAAACTATACTTGCTTGAACGCGTTCCACTTTTCAACAAGTTGTTGGTTTGATGACAAGATGCAATATACAAGACAAAATATCGGAGACTACTAAGATAGTATCAGTTAACAACCTATCAATAAATTCAGCGATACGAGTGATTGTGTGATTAATTGTGTTAACTGTAAGAATATGTGTACAGAGAGAGAAAGGGACGGACATAAGGAACACGTTTTTAAAAATTACCAGAAAGAAAATGGATCACGAAAGGAACTTGATTAGGTCAAAAAAATACCATAAAGAAAGTGGATCGTGAAAGGAACTTGACTAGGTCATAAAAAATACCACGAAGAGAAATATAAGGTCTCATAAGAGGACTAAGAGATAAGCTGGGAGCAGATCAAGGTCAGAAGAAGTAAGCACGATTTCAGCCAACAAGACTAAAAAACAGAGGTTCGCTGAATAAGGGGAGTTAACTACACTTTTGTGGTAAAAGGAAAATTTGGATTAACATCAGATTCTTTTTATCATAGTAAATTCTCATTTATATACATCATTTGATACACGATCCCAAAAAACTGATGTTAGTATCGAAGTCAATGCAATGTCTTTTTTAGTGATACATTCGTCTAGATAAAGGTCCTGTTTCTTTTTTGATTTGTGCCTTTTCGTGCTTTATGTATCTGTCAGTAAGGTCCATGTAACGACTTGACGTATGGTCGTTATATATGGTAACCCTGCTGTATAAAGTACATACTGTTAGTTTCGTACTTTTATGATCTATGATACGTACCTTGAGTTTGGCTGTAGGATGGAAAGGGAAACCAGCTTGAGACCGTCCAAGGCGTACACGTGTTGACGAGATGTACTTCTTTGTTGGGTCTAGATCACCGAAACCAAGATTGTTTATGTCTCCAAAGTCTGGGTTGGGATGGGCGACTTTATCAACTTTATGGTAATCTTTGATAACCGGATGAAATATCTCCCAGAAAACATCGTACGCTTCAGGATCCGAGGCATACATACCACACCCACTGTCCAGGTTTATACAGCCTGGCGAGCAACACATGTCCATTATTACCAATTAATTAGGAAATTTGAAATGGAAATTGTTCATTTATGTTCATCAAAAGTAGGAATTAGCAGGCTGTATTCTACAGCAAGTGTCTTTTTCATGGAACACTGAAGAAACAAAATTTGATTTTCTAAACATATTGCAGCAGTGGGATTTTTTCCTGTTTTATCATTTTCTATAACCTGTTATATTCCGTGTACCTCTGGCCATATCTATTTTCTTTTGCTTGACCCTGTATGACCTCATAATGATGTGTACTTAGCGCGCTAAATATAATAATAGTATACAACATTTGATATAACGCCCTATCTAGCTAACATAAGCCACAGTACATAAATATACAATTAATACAATTAGCATATACATTAATCAATACAATTTGTAAGGGTTTCGCAGGAGCTGCCTTATCAGGCGCTTACTGCTAGTCCTATGCCACCTGGCTAATATCTCCTTATGTGTGTATTCCTGCATGTGTGCTGGGGATGTAATGTGTTCTGTTTGTAGTGGGACCGTGCTTCCAACGGCATCATTTATAGTGCCACCTCACTTGAATGCTACAGCACAGATACCGCAACATCCACCCCAGACCAGTTTATACTCCACCTGGGTTGTTGGAGTTGTGTGGGAGAAGAAAAACACATTTTTATATAAAATATCATTCAGCAGACCAGAGAATATCGGTTTGTGGAAGTTGCTTCTTTGAATTTCAATAAAATAAAAAATAAAAAACTTAATTTGGACGTCCGAGACTTACCTCCTTTAATACAGTCTACTAAAGTTCCATTGAAGTAAGTAACTCTGTCTTTAAGCTCTCTAAAGATAAGATCTGTCATATTTCTCTTCAGGAAGGAAGTCGACTTGGCATGTTTCAGTCTATTCCAGTGTTCCTCGACAGACATGGTTGGCATGCTGCAATGTTAAATTGGCTCATTCAACACTGGTGCTTGTATGGGTTAAACTCTAAGATAGTATAGTATTACACGTCGTGTTTATCTTCCGTATTCGGCAACTTAGTCCCATCACAACTGTGTCAACAACAGTAAGGGGGAGTAGTGTTAGAAGGATTATAGACTGTTTCCGGATAAGTTTGGTAGTATATACTTGTATTTTGTCTTTTTGGTTTGTTTTCTTTCTTTAATTCAAAATTCTAAATATCTTGTAGAGGAGAAATAAATTTTGCAGTATAAACATTTTATTTGAATATTAATATCAAATAGCTATTTTTAGAAATATAACAAAACTTGCATATTTAATGATATGCTTATATAATTTTAAATGACTGACAGGGTGGTGTGCAATTATAAAACATAAATTAAAAAGAAATACATTTACATTCCTAGATGTCACAAGTATCCTATTACTTGACCTTTGAACTGGGTTGTTTAAAATTGGATGCAATGTAAATGTACAGACAAAGGTAATGTATTGTTGGATTGGACTTTTAAACACTTAGTACTGGTTGTGACTGTTTTTAATGTTATGTTAATATAAATGCAGATTTGATTATTTTGTATTCGAAATGTAAGTAGTAGAGTTTTCCTATTGTTGTGTATTTAACGATTTAATAGATGTTATGTAAATGAAATATAATGTAAATGTAATCTTTATATTGATATATTGAACCGTTAATTATAACATGCAGTTATATCTTTACGTTATAATGTCAAAACATTTTTATGTTTAGTGCTGCTTTTTATTGATGCTATTGATTGATTATATTTATTGTCTTTTTAACAGGAAACCCCTATTTTCACATGCATGCAAAATGATGGTCATTTGATGGTCTATGGAATAAATATATTTAACTAAACAAATAAATCGAATTTGTTTAGTTGAAATTTGAAGTGAGTGGAAGATTATCATTACATTTCAATAAACACCATTGTAACGAGAATAGATCGGGTTTACTTTAAGGTTATAGGATTGTGTCGCCATTTCTCGGTAGATTTTCTTAAAATATAGGTTGTCAGAATTTTAAGGATTTTAAACGGGAATTTATGTAAAAAAAGAGAGAATTTTAAAAATAATTTGAAACATATGTTTTTGCAAAATAAAGTCAATAAAAATGATACTGACATAGACTAGTATTGCATTAATGTATATCAATTTCATTAATGCTGAAATTGTGTAAAATTAGTTATCTATAAACGATTAAAAATTGACATTTTATAATAAAAACATGTGCATAGTAATAGCATCTAAGAGTTATCGTTCTTGAAATACTTCACAGTAGTGAAATAGGTAGCCGGTTTCCTGAAGTAAAGAAAAAATGACACATGTGACTCATTGATTAAAAAACAACTGAATTAATGCCTGGATTGCTTTGAATACTTTGACAATAAGAAACATACAATATTCATCAGTTTAATATTAAACATTAGAATATGCGGAAATTGTGATACTGTCTCCGTACATTGGATTTTCAACTAGAGATGTACTTCCAATTTCCGTTTAGCAATACACTCATATGACCTAAATGTTGATTCCCAAATACACCAGGCAAGAACCGTAAATACAATATAATTAAAGAGATATTACAGTCATTACACACACACAAACAAAATGATTCTCTCTCTCTATTATTCAATTATGATACACATGTGAGGATGTGCAAATTATAGATTTAAACAAAATACATAATATCCTACAGCTCATGTAGCTTATGATCACTTTTTCCGTCCATTGCCACGTGATCATTTATGACACTGTCCATCCAAGACACTGTTGGTAGAATAGAAACAACCTAACGAACTGCTATTGGTCACACAAACCAGTCAATCAAGGGGCCTTGCTGTCATAGTAATGTAGATAGTCCCACAGACTCGCACTACGATGAATATATATCGGCTATATAGCATTACCCTCTACCGGACCACACAGGTTGTTATAAATCGAAGACTAATCAGTCACGCTACATGGGAAATCACATATATTCTGATCTCAGCCCTATCTGAAATGATCTGTCTCTGAACATGATCGACAGCTTTTTAACTGCAATGACTGGCGTAACACCAAACAGTGTCAACACGTGTACACACATGTATATGGAGAAAACATTCCGAAAAACAAAATGGAATGACTCATAACCTAAAATCTCGGAATGTATCAATACAAACATTTTAAGTACGTTTCACTCTGTTGACGTTGAACTAATAAATACTAATCTTCTAATAAAGTTTTTCTTAATTGTTGCACTCGGTCAACGTGACTATGTGTATATGTAATTTTACTGAAGGGAGAAATATAATAATAAGAGTATAGAAGATGTTGATCTAGACAACTTACTCAAAGAATTTGATTTAAATAAATTAACAGACAATAAAAAAGAAACAATAGAATGAAATTTAACAGAAGAAGAGCTTGGAAAAGCTTTAAAAATATGAAAAACTGTAAATCTCCTGGAACAGATGGCTTTCCTGCAGATTTTTTTTTTATTTTTTTTGGCCAGAACGTATATACTAAAAAAAAATCCACTTATCAAAGGCTAGGTATTATTACATGTATTCCAAAAGGAGAAAAACCAAGACAATTTTTAAAAAACTGGAGGCCTATTACATTATTAAATACAATTTACAAGTTAGCCTCAGCATGCATAGCCAACAGAATGAAAACAATCTTAGAATTTATAATTTCAGATACACAAACAGGTTTTTTAAAGGGTAGGTTTATTGGAGAGAATACTAGATTAATATATGACATAATGAATCATACAGAAAATAATGACATTCCTGGATTATTGGTTTTAATAGATTTTGAAAAGGCCTTCGACTCGGTATCATGGAAGTTTCTAGACAAAGTAATCATTTTTTTAAATTTTGGACCGAGTATCAGACATTGGATCAATACACTATATAAAGACACTTCATCAGCTATTATACAAAATGGTAGGTTATCAGAATTTTTCACTATAGAAAGCCGCTGTCGTCAGGGCGACCCTGTTTCACCATATCTTTTTATACTTGTGGCAGAAATATTGGCAATTATGGTTAAAAACAATGCAAAAAATAAGGGTATCAAAGTAGGGAATAAAGAACACAATCTCACAATTTGCAGATGACACATCTCTTATTTTAAATGGTTCTAGGAAATCTTTCAATGAGGCAATCAAAATGTCAAGACTTCTTCCACCATAGATGGAAATTAAAATGGGGGATTACAAAATTTAACCTTCTTGGAATAGATTACTCTGTCAACTTAGATGAAATGATTAACATTAACTATAATAAAGCTATACAAAATTTAAATAAATCATTACTACAATGGTCTAAAAGAATGCTTACACCAATAGGTAGAACAACTGTTTTAAAAACATTAATACTTTCAAAAATGATTCATCTCTTTATGACTATACCGAATCCAGACAGAGCTTTTATTAAAACATGGAATTCTACTTTTTTTAAATTATATGGCAAGGACCTATTGATAAAGTGAAAAGGAACACTCTAATTAAACAATACAACAAAAGAGGTTTAAAAATGATAGATATAGGGAACTTTATTGATAGTTTAAAATCTACTTGGATAAAAGGACTATTAACATCTAGTGATAGGGAATGGAAAAATATTTTTGAACATGAAATATGTCCCATACAGTGTCTTTCAAAATTTGGTGAATGTTTCTTTGAAAACTTAAACATAACAAATTTATTTTGGAAAGAAGTCCTAAATACATGGATAAAAGTGTCAAAACTAAATAAAATAAGAACCAAAACTGAACTTCTTACCTCCCCTTTATGGTACAATTTTACCTTTGAGATAGGGAATCAATACATTTATTTTGAAGACTGGCATAAGAAAGGTGTAAATACAGTAGTTGACACAATGAAAGGAGATGGAACATTTCTAAATTTTGAAGAATTGAAAGACAAGTTTTCTGTAACATCGAATAATTTCTTAAGTTACCAGAGTCTGTGTGCATCCATTAAATCTGTGATTAAGAAATGTAAGGTATATCTGAATAACAATACTATTTT